CCACTTTACACTCCACACTCCAGCTTTACACTCCACACTTTACACTTTAGACTCCACACTCTACACTTTACAGTCCTCACTCCACACTCCACGCTCTACACTTTACACTCTACACTCTACATTTCACACTCTACACTCTACACTCCACACGGGACACGTCACACTCCAAACTCCACACTCTACACTCTACACTGTACACTCCACACTTTACAGTCCACACTTTACACTCTACACTTCACACTCTACACTTTTCACTCCACACTCCACACTCTACACTCCACACTCCACACACTACACTCTACACTATACACTCCACACTCCACACTCTACACTTACACTCTACACTTTACACTACACTTTACACTCCACACTCCACACTCTACACTTTGCACTCCACACTGTACACTCCACACTTTACACTTTACACTCCACACTCTACACCCCACACTCTACACACGACACTCCCCACTTTACACTCCACACTCCGCACTCTACACTTTACACCGCACACTTGAGACTCCACACTCTTAACTTTAGGCACCACACTCTACACTTTACACTCCACACTCTACACTCCACACTCTACACACGAGACTCCCCACTTCACACTCCACACTCCACACTCTACACTTTACACTCTGCACTTTACACTCCACACTTTACACTCCACACTTTACACTCAACACTTTGCACTCCACACTCTACACTCCACACTCCACACTTTACACTCCACACTCTACACTTTACACTCTACTTCACACTCTCCACTTTACACTCTACACTTTACACTCCACACTCGACACTGTACACTCCACACTTTACACTCTACACTCTACACTCCACACTTTACACACGACACTCCACACTCTACACTTTACACTCCACACTTTACACTCCACACTTTACACTTTACACTCCACACTCTACACTCCACACTCTACACTCTACACACGACACTCTCCACTTTACACTCCCCACTCCAGACTCTACACTCCACACTTCACACACCACACTTTACACTTTAGATTCCACACTTCACACTCTATACTCCACACTCCACACTCTACACTCTACACTGTACACTCCACACTCCACACTCTACACTTTACACTCCACACTTTACACTCCATACTTTACACTCCAGGCTCTACACTCCACACTCCACACTTTGCACGCCACCTCCTTCCATATTCCGCAGTCTAGGGTGCACTGGTACGGTAACAGGGGAAAAATGCACAAGACTGTTCAAATAAACTGTTTCACAAAAGTGTTCTGCGCGACTGCATATCCATGTGTTTCGATATTTGTACCATTAACATACGTGTGAGCATTCGGATTCGTGGGCTGCATCTTGTTTCTGTCCAACAAGCAACGCTGATGAGAAGGCAAGGTTAAAAATAAGGAATGGACAGCCGCAGAAGTCGAGAATGCGTGGAAAACAGGTAAAGAAGCAACAGCCTTGGAGCAGAACAAAAGGCTATGGTATGCTAGTGCAGAGATACAGGAGGAGCAGGAACAAGTGAAAAAAGGTTGAAGTTCAACTTAGCCACAAAGAATCAAATGGGCCCCACGCCAAGAGGCAACTCTTAGGGGAGCAAAAATCGCAAGGCAAACCCCACACAGAATACGTCAGGGGCTTACAAAATTCAACTAGGATTTCCGTCCGACGAAGAAAGGATCACACAATCACAATAATATCATTTCATCACTGCAGGAAACCTTTGCTTTGCTTTACTTGTGGTTGCTGTGCGCGTTTGCCTGTAGTAGGAGTTTCATGCTTGCATGGACGTGTGGATGTGTTAAGCTGCAAGTTGAACCCCAAGTGTCAAGTTGGAGTGGATCTTCACACCATATGTAGCGATGTGGGTGACAATATGGGCTGAATTTGCGGGCGCTAATGAGGTCCTCCTTTGCACAAATGAAGACAAAATCATGTTAGTGGAAGAGAACCATGAAGAGAGTACCAGTAGCATTGGGCAGCATATAGCAAGATGCAGGTGAAGTCCGCGATGTTTTTGCATTGAGGTTCGCATTGGAATCGCAAAACACCGGAATGGAATTTGGCTACAATTCCTTCGGTGGAGATTATCCAGGACTTCTCAACGCGACATGATGCGACCACAGCATGTAGAAGCAAGCACGAACGAAGTCCCGCAGATGGGCCGGAGATAGCAAATGATGACAGCAAGCCGTGCTTTCCGCGAGGCCGTCCATGTTTTGTTGCTTATCATCTGTGCATCATAACTATAGCAGGTGGGTAGCTGCTCCTGTCGAGTTGCATGTTTTTTTGTCAACATGAAGCTACCTGTGCAACATGGTTCGATTTCAATGCAGCCATAGGATCAGGTGTGTTTTAAGGGGAAATGGAAGCAGGAGTTCCACAAATAAAAGTAAGCGCGCACGGAGTTGGGAAAAGGAAAAACAATGTTTGGCAGGAGGCATGGAGGCGAGTTGTTGACAAAAAGAGTTTCCAAAATCAAAAGCCAAGCCAAGCCACAGTTAAGTCTTCAGGACTATTTTGGGCAGAAGGGGTCGCTCGGCTCGGTTTCATGCTGCGGCTTGGTAACGGGTCATGATGGCCCTGCAACTCCACTCGTCACAGGATTGTGAAATCCGATTGGTTGCAGGATGTTTGCAGCATACCAGGTGTCAGTGACTGACCTTCAAAGTATAGAAATGGTGTTTGTAGTAGAAAGAATGGAAGGTTATTTTTTGGTGGATTGTTTTTCCGTTTTGTTTTTTTGATTTCTGGTTTCCTGCTTTTCTGCTTTTCCCTGCTTCTTTGCTTCTCCGCTTTTCCCTGCTGGCCTGCGTCTCTGTTTTTCTGCGTGTTCCTGCTTCTTTGCTTCTCTGCTTTTCGGCTTCTCTGCTTCTTTGATGTTCTGCTTTTCCGCTTTTCTGTTTCTTTGCCTCTCTGCTTCTCCGCTTTTCTGCTTTTCCTTGCTTTTCTGCTTTTCCAGCTGCTCTGCTTCTCTGCTTTCTACTCTTCCCTGCTTACCTGCTTTTCTGCTTTTTCCTGCTTTTCTTTTGTTTCTCATACTGTAAGTAAACCGTAAGGCGCATCATATCACACATAGGCCCTGAATCAGCCCTAAAGCAACCCTAAATACAGCCCAAAACAAACAAAATAACACTAAAGCAACTCTAAGTAAACCCTAGACAGCCCTTCGATAGAGCTGACATAATCCTAAATAAACCCAGAACCCACCCTAAGTAGATCCTAAACCAACCCCAAGTATATGTTACATCAACCAAACCTAAAATAACCCAGCATACAACCCCGATAGCAATAGCAAAGTGTCGCATCTCGGTTGACGCCGATTTGGTATTGACAGGTGAGCCATTTTGGCCCAAAAAATGCCGTTTCTTCGACGCCACCGAAACACCACGAAAACATAAGCAAGACCCGAAACATCACGGAACACAGTCGAGACTGACGGACACACCGCCAAATTGCCGCCAAAACGCCAACAACCACCGAAACACAAGTGAGAGACCACCAAGACACCAGCAAAAAGACAGACATCATCAGAACAAACACCACCAATTCCCGAAAAGACCTGCAAAGGATTTTTCCCGAAAAGTTACTGCCGGCATACTCTGTCATAATAATCATTTTCCCATCACCATCATCACAACACCGTCAGAACAAACTTCCACCATCATCAAAACACCATCATGTTCATCGTCATCATCATCATCATCACCATCATTACCATCATCACCATCATCATCATCACCATCATCATATTTTTCTTCTTCATCGTCTTCGTCTTCTTCGTCTTCTTCTTCAATCACTTTAACACATCTACCAAATAGTTTTCTTCAATACATCTACCAAATGATCTTCTTTATGTAATACTGTATACATACAGGTGTAGATGCAGGTATGGATCTTACTGACCGGTGTTTAGGTGCAGATGCACAGATGCAGGTTCACAGTACCAAACGAGCATATGCAGGTGCATTGCGGAAGATATATATAGTTGCAGGTGGAAATCGATTTTTCAAAAAGCACCCGGAAGTGGATATATGCAGGTGTAAAGTGGCAGATGTAAAGACACAGGTGGAGACCAATTTCTTCAAGACACCTACAATCTGGCTATTTTCTTGGAGCGGAAGGGCAGCGTGGATTGATGTCTAGAAACGCAGCCCTCTTGCACGAAATGTCCGTCGTCATACATTGAAGTCAAATTGCAATGTGGGCTTGTGCTGGGCCAACCCTTTCCCGTAAAATGCGTCACGACTGTCAAAAGCTGTGGTGAAACTGTCCGTGATTTTGCATATGCTTGCCTGCTGAACTCTTTCGCACCATGTGCGTGTCCACCGTCGGGAATCATGCAGTAGTAGTAAAAATTCGCGTGGGTAAAAGCTCCTCGTGCACATACATTCCTTTGTTTGTTTTGGCATCTGCGTGTAAAATTGCTCAGTGTAAAATAATCTCTCTGAAATTCAAATGTTTGTGCGTAAAAAGGCATTTCTGTGTGTGAAAGCATTCCTGTGCAAAAGCATCTTTGTGTGAAGGCGTCTCTGTGCAAAACATCTCGGTGCAAAAGCATGTGTGATTAAAAAGCATGTGTGATTCAAAGCATCCCTGTGAAAGAGCATGCGTGTATGTAAAAAAATGCCCGCGCAATAAACATCGCCGTGTAAAAGTATTTTCATACGGCGAATGCCCCTGCCACTGGGTGTCAAAGTGTCTCTGTGTAAAAGTTCCTACGTGTAAAAGAACCTCTGCGTAAAAGAATGCGCGCGTAAAAGCAGTGTGTAGACGTGGTCGCGTGCAAACACACTTGTAAAAAAAGCATCTCTGTGTAAAGGCATCTGTGTGTAAACCCCCCTGCGTCTAAAAGTTTCTCGTAGCAAAATCATCTCTGGATAAAAGTATGTGTATCTTTAAGCGCCCGTGCGTGCATGCATTTTTGTGTTGAAAGTGCGAAAGTCACATAACAAATTTTTCACTTCTTCAAAGCATTTCCAAGTCATTCCATCGCACAGAGGAGACAAAACCTCGTGTTTACAAAGTGGCCGCAAAGGCTGCAGAGAAGGATATCCGATCTTCACTCTCGACACCGCTGCCAGAAAAGAATGAGGAGCAATCTGGAAGCGGAGAAATAGGTGGAGATACAATGAAAGTTTTGATCGATGAAGCAAATCGCACGTTGAAGTCTTTGCAGGAGACGGACCCGAGAGAAAAGACTTTGGGCACTAAGGTCAGCGAGGCGAAGATGTTCCAGCTGCGGAGGCAGCTGGACGAAATGAAAAAGATTTCTCTGAGGCCGTTTCGTCTCTCAAAGATCGGCCACTACCATGTGAATGGTTTGTTGGACAGCGGCGCAAGGCATCCTTTGAGACCGAGAAGAAAGGGTGAGAAGGTGGATCACTACCCGAAGGTTCAGGTCACTTTGGCTGGAGACCAACAGGTCACTATGAGTTTGCCTCCTACTGGAGTCATCATTGGAGACGAATCTGGAGAGCCGATCATGCCAATGGACATTTTGGCTACGTCTTTGAATTGCACCATTACATGGAACGGGTGATAAGCTCGAAGTGGTGCATCCTTGTATGTCAAGCTCAAAGAAGGATGTCCGATGGTTCCCCAAAGTCTCGCGCTCAAGTTGATTGAGGAGATCGAATCTCTAATTGCTACAGCCATCAAGGCGATTGATGAGCCTCAATGAAGACCAGGAGACTCAGTGGATCAAGCGGCTATCCTGTTTTCCGAGATCTTCCACCACATCTACAAACAAGCACTCATGGAGACACCAACATCCAACATTCTTCCGTCGGGCATTCGAAGAACACGAAAGCTTTGGAAAAAGCATGGAGCTTTGGTTCATGTTTTCTCTGGTGAGAAATCAGGCTACACCCTCTGGAAATGAATCTACTGCATGGACGTCCTGAAGCTGATTTGGGTTTGTCTGGTAAGGCCTGCAGTCTTTGCTTTGCCTTGCCTTAGATGGGCTGTGCCCTGGATGGGTTGGAGGTCACCATCCCGAACAAGGTCCATGCTGCGACACTTTCCCATTGATAGAAATGCCAGGACATTCCAACAGTCTCAGTCAGTGTCCTCGATGCCCAGAATGCTTCCCTGCACAAACTAGGCCAACTTCAAGCTTGTACGGTTTGGGATCTGGTAGCACATTCCACGGCGATCCCAGCCATGTAGCACCGGGCGAGGTCAAAGCGTATGGCCCATGTGCAGTTTGCACGCATGGCTAGCATTGACCTTTGGTGAGGCTTCAGCCCCGGATGTTTTGTAGGCTTGGTCCCGTGCGACTAAACCTAGGGGGAATGCGAAAGTCACATAACAAATTTTTCACTTCTTCAAAGCATTTCCAAGTCATTCCATCGCCAGGTGGCTCAATCGACTGCTTCAAACCCAAGCCCTTTAGATGCTCAGAAATAGAGCTCGTGGCGAGCTGCACTGGCAGCGCAACGATGTGAGTTAGGGCTTGGTTTGGGGAACACTTTTCCTTGGAGCTTGGTTCTGGATTGGGACCAGGACGGTTTTGTGTTTCGGGCACTGTGGAGTTCACTCAAAGATTTATAGAAAGTACCTCTGTGTAAGAGGACCTGTAAGTACAAGCATCCCTTTGTAAATTCATCTCTCTGCGTAAAACCATCTCTGTGTGAAGGCCCCTCCCTGTGTACAAGCACTTGTAGGTAAAAGCATCTCTCTGTAAAACATCCTGGGTGGAAACCTGATTCCAAAATGGTTTGAACCTTCCCCCACATTGTGTTTCCAGCCTCACCCATGTAAAGGTACCTCTCAGCGGACCTTTTACAGACAACAAGCTTTCACACAGAGAAACTTTTACACAGAGCAGCTTTTACACAGCGCAAGCTTTTATACAGAGCAACCTTTTACATAGAGAAGCTTTTACACACAGCAAGCTTTACACAAAGCAAGGTTTTACACACAAAAACTTCCACAAAGAGAAGCTTTTACACAGAGCAAGTTTTTACACAGAGAACCATTTACACAGAACAGCTTTTTCACAGAGAAGCTTTTACACAGAGCAAGCTTTACGCAAAGCAAGCTTTTACACACAGAAGCCTTTACACAGAGCAGGTTTTATACAGAGAAGCGTTGCGCAGCGCAAGCTTTTATACAGAATTAGCTTTTACATAGAGAAGCTTTTACACAGAGCAAGCTTTTACACAGAGCAAGCTTTTACACAGAGAACCTTTCACACAGAGAACCTTTTACACAGAAAGACTTTTACACAGAGAAACGTTTACACAAGAGCCGCTTTTACACAGAGAAGTTGAAGCTTTTACACAGAGAAGCTTTTACACAGAGGAGCTTTTATGCAGAGAATCTTTCACACCGAGAAGCATTCACACAGAGAAGCTTTTACACAGCTAGCTTTAAAGAGAGGAGCGTTTTCACAGAGGAACTTTTACACAGAGCAACCTTTACATAGAGAAGCTTTTACACAGGGCAGGCTTCTACACACAGATACTTTTATACAGAGAAGCTTTCGAACAGAGCAACGTTTCACACAGATAAGCTTTTACCCAGAGAAGCTTTTACACAGAACCTTTTACACAGAGAAGCTTTCACACAGGGAACCTTTTACACAGGAAAGCTTTTACACAGAGAAACTTTTGCACAAGAGCAGCTTTGACACAGAGAAGCATTTACACAGCACAAGCTTTTACACAGAGCAAGCCTCATACAGAGCAAGGTTTTTACATGCAGAAGCTTTTACGAAGCCTTTACACAAAGCCGGCTTTTACACAATGAAACTTTAACCTACATGGCAGCAGAAATTGCAGCCCCAAAATCGGATCTCAACGCCAAACTGGAGAGAAAGACGATTTTGAAGCAGTCCTATAAAAAAAATTAAAAGGAAAACCGGCTGCAAAATAAAGAAATTACTGCCAAAGCACCATGCGCCACCCTTATGCAGCCATGACAATGCGATTTACGAGTCTCAGCTGCAAAAGACGATAGTGTTACGGACGCAGCCGCAGCAGCGAGGAACCTTGACACAGCCATTCCACTGCGATCTGCGGACTGAATTGCAAAGCACAAGAAAAATTTTCCGCAACGGCTACACACATTGCCGTTCCAAAACCGGATCTCGACGCCCAAACGGAAAAACGATGATTTTGCACCACTTTTCAACAGGAATTGGAAAAGGAAAATCGGCGACAAAATGAAGAACTAGACGACGGATGGCCCGAGAGCGTAGAGGAGCAGGGTCTTCTGTTGTTAGTATGCAGACACTATATTACAAGACAATACAATATTTTAAGGGCTGACGCCCCTCGTCGGCTCCGCCGGATTTCTCGACCCTCCACTTCATCGCAGTGTGGGCTTGAAAGCTTTTGGATGGGGACCTGCTTCAGAAATATATTCCTTATGTTTTTTGAAAAACGTTCATGGAATAGGAACTTTGTTGGAAATAGACGGCTTTTTTGGGGAGCAAGTGAGTTCCCGAAAGCTCCTGCCAAGGGTTTTTCCCGAAGAACTGCTGCCAATTTCAACTTGTTACTTCGTGTAAAGGCGCCTCTGTGCAAAGACTTCTCTGTGTAAAAGCTTTTGTGTGTAAAAGTTTCGTGTGTAAAAACCACTTTGTGTAAAGACTTCTTTGTGTAAAAGCTTCTGTGTGTGAAAGCGTCTCTGTGTGAAACGTCTGTGTAAAGATTTCACTGTGTGTAAAAGCTTCCGTGTGTAAAAACTCTCTGTGTAAAGTGTCAAGGCTTCTTTGTGTAAAAGCTTCTGTGTGTAAACGCGTCTGTGTGTGCAAGCTATATATCTGTGTAAAGACTTCTTTGTGTAACAGCTTCTGTGTGCAAAGGCTCCTAGACGTTTGTGTGCAAAAGCTCCTTAGAGTAAAGACTTCTCTGTGTAAAACCTTCTGTGTGTAAAAAGCTCCTTTGTGTAAAGACTTCTCTGTGTAAAAGCCCCTGTGTGTGTGTAAAAGCTTGCTGTGTGTAAATGCTTTTGTGTGTAAAAGCTCCTCTGTGTAAAGGCTTCTCTGTGTAAAAGCTTCTGTGTGCAAACGCGTCTGTGTGTAAAAACTCTCTCTGTCAGGCCTTCTTCGTGTAAAAAGTTCTGTGTGAAAAAGCTCCTAGACGTTTGTGTGCAAAAGCTCCTTAGAGTAAAGACTTCTCTGTGTAAAACATTCTGTGTGTAAAAAGCTCCTTTGTGTAAAGACTTCTCTGTGTAAAAGCCCCTGTGTGTGTAAAAGCTTGCTGTGTGTAAATGCTTTTGTGTGTAAAAGCTCCTCTGTGTAAAGGCTTCTCTGTGTAAAAGCTTCTGTGTGCAAACGCGTCTGTGTGTAAAAACTCTCTCTGTCAGGCCTTCTTCGTGTAAAAAGTTCTGTGTGAAAAAGCTCCTAGACGTTTGTGTGCAAAAGCTCCTTAGAGTAAAGACTTCTCTGTGTAAAACCTTCTGTGTGTAAAAAGCTCCTTTGTGTAAAGACTTCTCTGTGTAAAAGCCCCTGTGTGTGTAAAAGCTTGCTGTGTGTAAATGCTTTTGTGTGTAAAAGCTCCTCTGTGTGAAGGCTTCTCTGTGTAAAAGCTTCTGTGTGCAAAAGCGTCTGTGTGTAAAAAGCCCTCTGTGTAAAGACTTCTTTGTGTAACAGCTTCTGTGTGTAAAGGCGCCTAGACTTTTGTGTTCAAAAGCTCCTTAGAGTACAGACTTCTCTGTGTAAAACATTCTGTGTGGAAAAAGCTCCTTTGTGTAAAGACTTCTCTGTGTAAAAGCCCCTGTGTGTGTAAAAGCTTGCTGTGTGCAAATGCTTTTGTGTGTAAAAGCTCCTCTGTGTAAAGGCTTCTCTGTGTAAAAGCTTCTATGTGCAAACGCGTCTGTGTGTAAAAGCTTCTGTGCGACTCCTCCATCCAGCTTTCTTTCGGGTCACGCTGTCGTCCAGTTTCAATCTGCAACATTGTTTCTTGTGGAAGAATGCAAAGAACAGGTGAAAGCATCGCAGGTTAAAAAATTGAACATAAACAGCGCACTGAGTGCTGTAATTTACAGCATTTTGCGCTGTCAGATGGCAAGAACCCGCGTAAATACCACAGTTTTAGTCCCCGAAAGTGGCTAAAACACTGTTATTTACACGGTTTCGTTCACGTCACGATCTTCGATTTTTTGAAAAACGCGTAAGTACCAGCGTTTCGTTCATCAACGCAAAAAAATCGGTTAAAAAAGGGAAGAACATGCTGTAATTTACAGGGGTTTGGCGCCGCCACGGGCAAAAAACTGCGTAAATACCAGCGTTTCGGCGTCCAAAAGTGGCCAAAACACCGCTATTTACAGTGTTTCGTGCCTTCCACGTTTTCTTGAAATTGCAAAAACATTGCGAATACCAGCATTTTTTGCGATCAACCCGCCAAAAATGCTGTAATTTACGGTGTTTTTTTGCTTGGCTTTCAAAAACACTGGTATTTGCAGTGTTTTGTGCATCTCGGGTCCAAAAAGTATTGGTATTTACAGCATTTTCTGCGTTTTTGCATGGCTCCCGCAAAAGACGTTAAAACGCAAAAATGCTGTAATTTACAGCATTTTGTAACTTTCGAA